AATCCGCCCTAATGTAGCATACCTGTACCTTTTCTATAAATATTTTCATGGTAATTGTTTTGATGAACTTTACCTCTTTGGTACATAGACATAATGAATTTAAGAGCAAGGTGTCATCATTTTACAGTTAAACTGGTTAGATGTAACCGTAACTTCTATGCAAATAGTTTCTTCTCTCGCATTTATGTCTTGAGGAAATAATTTCCGGATTATTTGCTTTCTAATCAACTTTGATCTTCAAAGATTTAAATTCAATGTCAATCGTTATATTGTCTTTTTAATATCTGTTCTTTTATTGTCCTTTTTGTTTATTTCACTTACAGTAACTCTTTGTATTCTAGTTGTCTTTATTACCTAGCTAGGGGTGAAATGATTAAAAGAAACACGTTTAATATTTTCTTTTCTTGACTTGACAACAAGCAAGCTACAATATCCCGTCCAGTGTAAGACGATAAATTCCATCGAACAGCAAGGCCTCTGATCAGGAGGCTTTGAGGAGCGGGGAGCCGCATCTTAATTGTTGTTGTTCTCATGTCAATCCTGACGCGGGGTGGTAGCATCTGTTAGGGTCCCAGCTATGGGCAAATAGTTAACTCCCCAAACTAGGGTCAAAACAATATGAAAGTGTTAAAACAGGTTTTAATACAGCAATACGTTTTTGTAAAAAATTACCAGCCAAAAATTTTTGAAGAAAAAATTATTACCAGCAATAAAAATCTTGTCGGTATTAAATAACCCATTGAAGTTTTGATATGCCATAAAAAAAACAAAACAAAACAAACTAAAAGCTACAATCACTGCCCTCATCTTCTGATCTCCGTTCGTATTCATTCGTGGCCAATTTTCTTATATTATTTTCATTATTCACACTATTGTTCTCATCTTTGTCGCCATATTTATTACAACGTCTCGGCGTTGTACGCTCCAGCCTTCTTCAGGTGGTTGGAATGTCGAACTGAACCCTTTATTTCACACACTGGGGTAGACTGTTCTAGTTCCACGTGCCATATTTAATGGATGTCAGTTATCTCGTGTTAATTTCCCTCTGAACGTTCTCCACTGCCTTAACCGGGTATTGAACTCACACTCTTTTGGGTCCTGTCACAGGATCTAACTAACGCCTTTATCCACACTGCCATGTATCCTTGAGGAATTAGAACAGTCTACACCAGTGAGCAAAATAAAGGGTTCAGTTCGACATTCTAACCACCTGAAGAAGGCCGGAGCGTACAACGGTCGAATCGTTGTAATAAATATGGCGACAACGATGAGGAAAATAGTCCGGATAATATAAATAATGTACATAATACCTCATCTCAGAAATATAGACAGATACTGAAAGGCCGAAACGTTGTAATAAATATGGCGACAAAGATAAGGACAATAGTCCGAATAATGTAAATAGTGTACATAATACCTCATCTCAGAAATATAGACAGATACTGAAAGGCCAAAACTTTGTAATAAGTATGGCAACAAAGATGAGGACAAAAGTCCGAATAATTTAAATAGTGTACATAATACCTCATCTCAGAAATATAGACAATCTTATTTAATTCCTCTAGTTCCACCCTTTTATATAGCAGTAAATGCTTTACAATCTCCCTACGGATGAGGAAAATATTTTTCTCATATTCTCTCACACTCAGTAACCCCTTGCGTCTTAATGGCTTTATTGCCTTGCTTGGAACGAAACGATTACAAAGAAAAAGGGAAAAGAGAATATGATTGTTTGATATTGTTCACATCAAGCATTAGCGTGATTGTTTCAAATGTAGGGCATTTTCTTAGAAATTTGATGACGAAGCTAACGCCGACAAGATTTGTTTAACTCAGTCAAGTTTTATTTTGACCAAGATCCCCATCACCGATTAGGATCCTACAGGTACCATCCCATTTACTGCATTAGTAGTGGGTGTGTCTGGTGCAAGATAGTCTTCTGGACCTATCGTTTATTTATTTATATTTTGGCTGGTTTTGAATTCAGAGTCATGTCTTGTCACATCAAGGCAAAAGAGTACAGTCTAACCTTTCTAAAAAAGAAAGGTTAAACTGAACTCTTTTTTCTATAGGTGGGAAAAGAAGAGATGGATTCATGCCTTCCACAAGTGCATTTGTGCAAACATGAATATAACAAAGTCGACCGCTGCACTACGAGTTCGATCTGGGAGAGAACACCCATTTTCATATCTACTAAATTACCAAAAGCTCTCTCGGTTGGTTTTGAATTCAGAGGTGACAATCTCCTTAACTGAGTCGTGTATGTTAAGAGAATTTCGTCTGTCCTGCTATTTCATCCATATTTCGATAATCGATACTTGCCTTTTCCAAGGTCATTAGTGCTAAATGAACATAACTGACTCTGTCCGAATTTGAACTCGGTATGCTGATAACATTTTCCATGCTAATAAGTACCCACATCTCTACGTAATTCACGGTGAAGATATGGTCAGCATATTTGCATCATCGATTACTGACGTCAGATTGATCCTCACTAGGCGTCAATTCAATTCTAATTTTGTTGCACGTTTCGTATTAATCGACACTGACCTTTGGAAATGTGAAGTATATTTATTGGACAGAGATGACTCTAGCTCAAGGTCACATCCATCATGAGAGACTTAGGGAAGGACGGCGTGACAGGCAATTGCGACAAAAAAAAAACCCTCCAATAATAAGTCTGCGACAGAAGCAGATGATTGGGAAAGATAAGCAAGTCAATTAAAGAAACAATACATTTGAATTTGCTCTGTTCGGCCTAATCTAGCTTCTGTCTACGATGGCGTTTCGGTGTATAACGCCTAACTGATACTTTTAATAGGAAAATGATTTATGGTGTCTCCAGGGTCACATCATTACTTGAGCACGGAAAACAGACGATATTAATCCAGGCGGCGCGAAATATTGAAATGAGGCCACAGAAAATGACGTAATGTGCAGCAAAAGTTTCCCCAACTTTATATTATTGTTTTCTGGTTTCATATTCTTTTTTAGCAGAAACACTAAACTTCTCTCCTCATCTATTCAATATGTTTCTTTGTTTTTTAGAGGAAAATGACAAATATATTACTTTTCTTTTTAGTCATCATAATTTTAATCGTTACGTATTAATCAATCGTTTTTCAACCTTCCTCATAATCAGATAGATATTCCCTTATGATTTCACGCTATTTTTATCATTATTGTTGAAACTTGGATAAGCATGGAATAATAATAATACAACACAAAATGTACGTTAACAAAATGTATTGAAACAAGGAAAAGGTACACAATATTTACAGTTAGTTTTGGTATATTCTTGGGAAGACTGTTCCTGCATAATGGGTTGACTAAATCGCAGTCGGGCAGAGTCTCTCGATTCGATCTCTTCTTACAATCTCTTTTCGTCTTCCGGTACCAACCCATATTTATATGGTCGGTACTCCACTTATGTAAATTAGGTGTATCGTACACAACAATTATATTTTGACTAACTACGGATTGGCGTTCTTTATTTTCTGTAAATTACCATACAATTATCGAAAATCTAATGATGTATTTTCTTTACATTATACCCAAACACACACAAATAATTTGAAATGGTGTCTCGACACCAAACATCTTTTTTAGCTAATTTGAGGGCTCTGAAAATGACCTATCGTTTTTGGTGTACAGAAATGCCTCATTTTTGGAAAAAAAGCATATTTTTCATTTGTTTTCTGTGTATATGACATTGAACGATGGAAATATTTTTCAAAATAAAATCTTAGAAATCACATAATTCGTATTTAAACCAACAAATATTGGTCTTCTTATTAAAAAAAAAAATATTTTTGCAATAACAATCAGACATTAAGTCTAAAAAATAACACGATTGAACTAAACTAGCAGCAGAAATAAAACCTTCGTGAACATATGAACTATGGTAAAAAAAAATCACTTTCTTGATTGTGATGTTCAATGTTATTTAAATCCCTTTTGATACTCCAGTATTATCATGTACAATAGAATAGGTGCCATTAATTGCGAAGTTTTTAGTTGGACTTTCTTTTCAAATATGAAACCAAAATGCTCTCAATGTTCTTGGTTTCCTTCCATAGTGGAGGGATAAAAGTGATGGGATAAATTTATGAATATCAAATAGATTTTAGGTTTTCATTTTTTGATATCATCTTATTTATCAGGTTTACTAAAGTGTATTGCTGATAAAGTTTATCAGTTAATTTGAATTCTGGTGATAAATTGGAAAACTTCGGTACATCTATTTTAAAATTTTTGACTTAAAAAACTTTTTTTCTTATACAAATAGTTTAATTTAGGAGGTTGATATAAATTGCTGAAAATGTGATGGGTTTCTACGACCTTTATTAACTAAATTTTGCGATCAACCAAGATTGTAGCTTAATCTTTTTTCCAAAAATGAGCAATTTCAGTACAGGAAAAACGGTAGCTAACCATGAAAACCTAAGGTCATTTTCGAAGTCAGCACCATCAATTCAGTGTTTTGTTTCTCGGCACCAGTGTTATCCGCAGTTTTGAATTGAAAGTAATCTATATTAGCAGCCACCCATGACTAATATGTAAGCCATACTTGGAACACAGAAGATCCATGTCTTTTTAAATGGCATTAGTACGAAAATTATCACAACAGACTAGACCGGAAATTGAACTCGGCGTATAACTGTTAAACAAGATACACATCCTATTCTTGGATACATAATACGCATGTTCAAAGGATATCCGTACCGTTCTTTTCATTTACTGTTTTTATTTTATATAATAAATATTTTATTCTATTATTTGATTCTTATCCGCTCTTTCTTTTTTCTTTTTTTCGATTTTCCACCAGTCAAAATCAGTGAAATCTCGTAAAGTAGAACTTGACGATTGAACCACACCCACCAACAGATCCTTTATCTAATTCCATTTTGAGCAGACAATTCACTCAGAGATGTTCAGCCACTGTTTCACACATGAAGATAAGAAGAAAAGCGAACACAATGCTAGAGGACGTCATTGACCTTTTCAAAAGCAGAAAGAAGTGAAAATGTCTCTCGTCTGTAGATGTGGAAGAAAGAACTGGGAAATATTACGCCTTGCAAAAAAGATACAGTTCGAGATATGTGTTGAAGTAATGAGAATATAGATTCCAGGTTACAAAGCATTCTGAAAGATTTACAAGTGGACCATATAAAATCGATCCTCTCTCTCTCTCTCTCTCTCTCTATATATATAAAATATATCTAATTGAAGAATTACTTCTTTTTATTTTTTTGTCTTATTTTAAAAGGCTCTACGTTGTAAATATTTTATTTATTATTTGATTCTTAATCGACTCCAGTGCTTTTCTGCATCTTTCTTTTTAGACAAGTTTTTTCACAGCTTTTTCCAACCGTCAAAAAACGCTAAAGATTATATACTGATAAACATTGCTAAAATTAAACCAGGCCTAAAAAAAATTATGTTAACATGAATTTTGTTTCTTATTTAAATTTCTTGTTAAAATTTCTTGTTTAAATTTTATCAATTTATATTTGTGTGGAGGCGATCTGAAGAGTTGAGATCACTCGACCATAACGAAATAAATATCAGCATGGTCTTTTAAGAGTTCGTTTTCTTTATAATAATAATTATATATATACCCATAAAAGTGGTGATGATATTCTTAAATATAGCTAAGTGAACAGGAAGAACGAAATTTGACTCTTTAGTCATTCATATCCTGCGGTCGCATTTCTTCCCTCAACAGCAAGTTTTCTTTCCTCGACGAGATTCTTATCTATTTTAAAATAAATAAATATTGTCGTTCGTCCCATATAATTCTTTCAAGGAAAATTGAAAAATGGTGAGCCTTCCAATTTGGATAAATAGAAGAACAGATCTATATCCTTGATAGCAAATGGTTCAAATGGCAACCTATTGCGAAAAAAACGTCAGTCATATCGAAAGATAAATGATCGCCTAAGCGATATCTCGCATGGTAATAATTGACTGACCCTTGGGAATGATTTCTATAGCCTTGAACCATAGAGAGAAATGGCAACCTAATGCTGGAAAAAATATGACTCGTCAGTCATCTATCGAGAGATAAATGATCACATAAGCGTATATCACACATTGGAACATTCCAACAATTGTCTAATGCAGGTGGAATGTTTCCGGTATCAGATCAGCAGTAAGATCTCATAATTTCACTGTTGAATTTCTTTCCTTTTTCCTCTCACAGTAACCCTTTGTATTCTAGTGGTTTTTATTGCCTTGTCTGGGGTGGAATGATTAAAAATTTATGTTTGATTTTTTCTTGACTCTATTACAGCTAAGATAAATCTCTGCTTTCCTCTTTTGACATCGGTTCTTTGTCATTCGTGGCCAAGAAAAAATAATTAATTACTCTGGAAAATCTCCTTAGAGTCGAGGAAAAAAAAGAGGCAACAGTAATGTGGATCTACAGAAGGACACTGAGCATTCCATATGCAGACTGAGTAAGCAACAAGGAAGTTTTAAAGAAGATGACAACAGAAAGAACACTTATACACAGAATCAACAAAAACAGCTGGAATTCCTTGGACATATAACGAGGAAGGAAGGCCTGGAAAACTTAACTCTCACAAGGCATATTGATGGCAAGAGAGATAAAGAGTGTGATTCACTTACAGTAGCGTCCAAAACTAAGGGACAAAATTTTAAAACCTAATATTTGTTAGAAATAACAACTGTGAAAAGCTGAAATTTTGACAACTGGTTCGTTATCATCTATAATAACATACTAAAATTTGAATCATTTGCAAAGGATGAAAAGAATTATAACAATTATTTATTTATTTTCAAATTTGGAACGTCCAAAAAGTAAGGGACAAAATTTCAATGTAAACGGCAAAAAAAAAAAAAAACACTTGCTCTCAATCCACATCTTCGACTACAAGAACGAAACAGTTCTTGACAATTCGATACTAATTTTAGACCATTCTTCTTGAAGCTTCACCCACAAAATCCTCCGTGTAGGATTTCTTTCCATAACTTTCACTCCCTAAGGTCTTCCAAAGATTTTCTATTGTATTTAAGTCAGGACTTTGCGGTGGCCAATCCATAATTTCCAAATCTTGCTCGCTAAGGTAACTCATTACCACCTTTGCCTTGTGACATGGGGCATTATCTTGTAAAGGTAGCCCTATCGAAACCTGAATTCTGTATGATTGGCACAACATGATCTTGAACAATGGCACAACATGATCTTGAACAATGTTTTTATAGATCTGCGCGTTTACACGAGTTTGTAACCGGACAAGAGGCGTTGTACCTGGCTAGAAAACATCCCAAAATAAGACGATAAACTTGACAGTTTTCTTAGTACACTTTGCACTTAATCTTTCACCAATACGTCTCTTTAGATTGTTTTTTCCATCATTTCAAATAAATTAAACTTGCATCACTGAAAAAATACTTTTGCCCAATTTTCATATATCCAAATTACATACCTGTTTGCAAACTCTAATCTCTTCTTCTTATTCTTCGAAGTAACAAGTAGTTTCTTCCCTGGGTTCGATTAAACAGCCCTATTTCTTGCAGTCGTCTACAAACAGTCTGTCTTGACACATTAACACATGAGGTACTATTCATAACCCTTTTTAATTTCTGTGCAAGACTTAAAAACGTCCTTTAATGACATGCATTATTCGATCTTCTCTTGTCGAAGTTTTGCGTGGTCTGCCGGTTTTAAAAGCACTAAATATCATATTTTGCCAGTATTTGTACAACCTGCCTTACAACACTCTTGGAACGTTCCACTTTCTCTGAAATCTCTCTAATGGTGTGCTTTTCCTTGTGTAGCTTCACAATAGCTTGTCTCAGAGAGTAATCAAGTTTTTAATGATGCAACGTTTAAAATGACTAAATAAGACTTATTCTTTAGAGGAAATCAAAAAATTTGAATATAGCATACTGTTTAAATTTTGTCCCTTAAACGATCCTATTTTAAAAATAAATAAATAATTGTTATAATTCTTTTTTTCTATCTTTAAATTTTAGTATGATATTATGGATGATAACGACTATCAGTTGTCAAAATTTCAGCTTTTCACAGTTGTTATTTCTAACAAATATTAGGTTTTAAAATTTTGTCCTTTAGTTTTGGACGCTACTGTAAGTGAATCACTGCTTGCGCCTATCTCTCTTGCCATCAATATGCCTTGTGAGAGTTAAGTTTTCCTGACGAGTTCTCTTGACGAGTTTGTCCGAATGGATAGCGGGACGGGGGTATCATTAGCAAAGGAAGAAAATCACACGATATAGGAAGTTGTGGAGAGACATAATCGTCTATGTCCTAATGGGAGGAGGATTAAAGAAGAAGAAGAAGAAGTAGAAGAAGAGAGACGTACTACAAGAGTAACCCTTCATTGCATTAAGATGGGTAGATTCAGGATAACCTCCATTACCTAATATGTACTAAAAGATGAGACAAAAGTATCTAGAAATGCATTTTTCCCTTTAATAACGCGTAAGAGGTTCTCACAATAAATGTCCTTGTGCCACATTTCTTCTATCCGCAAGACTGTTTAAATACACTTTCACTCATTGCGTTTCTTTAACGAATTTTGAAACCATTTTCTCCGTCCTGGGTATGACGATAAACTACATCCGCGTCCTGGGTAAGACGATAAACTACATCCAACAGCAAGGCCTCTGATCAGGAGTTTCTGAGGAGCGTAAAACCACGACTAAATTGTTGGTGTTCCCAGCTTCACCCTGACCCAAATGTGTAGCACCTTTTAGGGTCCTAGCTTTGAAAAGTATAAAAATAGGTTTTAATACCAGAAATACTTTCTAAAAATTATTACCAGCAATATAGTATTACCAGCAATACATTTTTGAAAGAAAAATATTACCAGCAATAAAAATCTTAAAATTAATAAGTATAAATTAAATAACCCATTGATGTTGATATGCCGTAAAACAAACCAAACCAAACGAACTGAAGCATTGACAAATGTGTAAGTTCAAATCTAAGTTTTATTTCATTTAAATTCATTGTCGTAGGTTGACGGCTCTGGTAAATATTACCAGAAATACTTTTTGAAAAAATCTTACCAGCAATAAAAATCTTGTTGGCATTAAATTACTCATTGATTTTGATACGCCGTAGAACAAACCAAACCAAACCAAACCATTTTCCCGTCTTTTGGTCCTTGCCGATATTACGTACAATGAAAAGGATTTTTAAAAAAATAAATTGAAAGCAATGGTTTGACCCAGAGCTAAAAAATGACTAAATTGAATTGCCTGTAATTGTACACCTCTCATTCCCACCCACCCCAAATAAAATCTACGTTTTCATTTCCTTTTTCTGTCATTTTGTTTTGTTGATACGTTAGGCAATCAGGTCAATGGGTCAACGAGTTTTGTGAATCTCGTGTTATTTGCATCAATTGCTATTCTCGTTTTGGTCAATGATTGGATGAAGAGAAAACAAAATCATTTTCGCTTGGCTGATAAAACTGTGACATGTTTGCGTTCTGTTCTCTCTTTACTCTTCGGTAAAATCACTTGGTTTGTGCGCAGAATCGTTTTAGAATAAATATTAATGAATGGAGAACAAAAGGAAGAGTGAATAAAAAAAACGCGGCCGAATACAAAACGTGCCATCAAAGAAAATATATAACACAAAGCTTTGTTCAGTGTTCCCTTAGGTAGAGGTTCAAATCCGTCTGTCGGCAAAGTAATGTCCAATGATTTAACATTGGGCTCAAAGGGTGACTATCGATGTTTTTATGCCTTTGTTGTTGTGATAATCAATTTAAATATGTTATTGTTTATACTGGTGGATTTTTAACCAATGATGAATACTAAATGACAGTTAGTGATATATTTATTTATTGTTTCCGTATTGTCTTTATTTTTGTTGTTGTTATCACAATATTTCGGCAGTTGTTCCTCATCAATTGCTTGTTGATTCGGGTAACCTTCAGGAAATTCCGAATTGAACCGATTGGCGTAGATTGTCTGGTTCCAGATCTAGGTAAACCAAATCTTATTTAGTTCTATTCACTTATTGCCGAAAGAATCAGCTCAAATTCTGAGCTATAATTGCTTTCTTTCTATAGAAATAAATATGAAATATAAAATTCCTACCATAGAAATAAATATGACATGTATGTCATTAGTAAAAGAA